CTCTATTTTTTATCAATATCTTCTTTAGAAGCAGTTATAAATTCTTTTACTGCAGTGTTTTTTTCATATTGAGTTTCCTGCCCATGTTTCTGTAGTTGCTTCTTTACTTCAGATGCTATGAGTTCTGAGAGTTCTTTTTTTATTTCAGAAAAGAATTGCGCTCTGGTTTCCTCTATATCTTTCTGCTGTTGCTTATTTACTATCAACACTATTAATTCATGCAATTGAGCCTAGCTAGTGTCCTCCGCACTTGTTCTGGGTGGGCACTGGGCTTCTTCCATATGTTTCTGCATTTGATTCTTTAGTTCAGATTTTATTAATTCAGGGATTTCTTTTTTTATTTCCAATCTGACCTCCTCTGTATCTTTCTGCAGCTGTTTCTTCATTTCAGAAGCCAGTGATTTATTGCTTTCAGCTGTGTGATTTCCAATATTTTCTGTGTTAGTGTCCTGTGCACTTGTTACGGGTGGGCTTGGGTTCTGAGGTTGCATTTTGTTCCTTCTCGTCATTTTGTGTAGCACTGTCTTCTGACCTTTGTTGTAGATCTTTGCTGTAGTTATAACCTTCGCATGTACCGAAGTTCAGGTGCAGCTCTACAAAGTTTGGACTTATCCAGCTGTGCCTGGCTTGGGTCTGGCTGCTGTGCTCAGCTCCTTCCCGCTGCTGCCCTTGAGGATGAACCTGTTGTGCCCCTCTGGCACGATATTCTGCTCCTGAACTAGCTGGGTTGTTCAATCCTCTACACTCTCTGCAGGGATTGCAGCTGCAGGGTTACTCCCCAGGCATGTATGCCAGGCCTGAACTGTGCCTGGAGGGGGCAAGGTGGAGTAGTGGGAGAGGAAGCTCTCTCTCACACTCACTGGGTCTGCGTTAGGACTGGGTCTGGGGGTTCCCGGTGCAGCAGAAATTCCTACTCGGTGGCGTGGTCGGGGAGGTTCTGTGGAGTGTTGGGGGGTGGCCCAAGTGGGTGGGAGAGGGTCTTGTCCACACCGCCCCTGGCTGGGACTGGTATTTGGTCCAGCCGGTGCAGGGTAGCAGGAAGCTCTCCCACACACTCAGCGGACCTGGGCTAGGACTGGTTGTGGGGGTTTTCGGAACATGGCAGAAATTCCTACTCAGTGGACGGGGTGGGGGAGGTGCTGCGGAGTGGTGGTGGGCATCCCAAGGGGGTGGGAGAGGTTCCGGCCCACGCTGCGCCTGGGCTGGGACTGGTCCTGCAGGCACAGGGTAGCAGGAAGCTCTCCCACACACTCACCGGACCTGGGCTAGGACTGGGTCTCTCTTCACACATTTAAAGTCCCAGGGGCCCATCCCATCTCAGGTACGCTGTGATCCAGAGAGCTGAGGGTTACTGTTAGGGTCAGAGCCTTCCCTGAGGCTCTCTGTTCTTCTGTCCTCCATGCGAATTTGTCTATCGTGAGATTTACATAGGAGCCATCGGCTGCTGCTGCTAGCATCACATTTACATCCTCATAGTTCCAAAGGAAAAGGAAAAGGAAAGAGAGAGACGCTCTTTCCTGGCGGGTGGAACAAGATGGTGCAATTGGCATCACTGGATATTTGTCATTTCTATACTCAGCTTTCTTGGTTACCAGGCCACTTCAGAAATAAAGCATTCTTGCACGGCTGATGCAATTCTCCCAGTGTCTACATCTAGGACAAATTTCAGCTCCCAGTGCTGGGTAGAATCTTCTTCACTCTGAGCATAAATTGAAGTAAGGAGATGGGGGTTCTTAGAGGAAACTCCAGTTTATAATTACAAGAACAAATAGGGACAAGTGTTGGTAACACGAGCTTGAAAATATTAGAGAAGTCCTGGGGAACAGAAGTGCCACGTGCGTGTGCCGCCAAGATGCCAACACACACGTATATACTGGAAAGATGGTTATCAGAGACAGATATGTTTTTACTACAGGTTAAAGTATTTTTATTTGGTGACATTATAGTAACAGTGAATTATGCAGTCATTATTATTAGTTTAATCGCTGAATAATATGAAAAATGTTGAGTTTACAATATTAAGTTATACTAATAAAATAATTTCCAAAGACTAAATTATAAGATAATTAAAAACAACTGTAAGAAAACTTTTTTGTTTTTGAGATAGTTTTAAAATGTAGTCTTACTATATATATATAGTTCATGCTGGCATTAAACTCACTCTATATCCCAGGCTGGCCCAGAACTCCCTGAAATCCTCCTGCCTCAGCCTCCCAAGTGCTAAGATTATAGGCAGAGGCCACTGGACTCACCAAGAAAACATATGGTGGTAAAGTTGGGATGAGAAAGAATTTTCCAGGAAATAGGTCCTATTAATGAATAAATATCAGGAGATGATCTTTTCCAAGATGAAGTGATGAAACAGTTCTCTACGTTAAAATTTAAAGTATTTTAATGATTACAGACCCCAGGAATTCATGTAAATGTAGAATAGTTGATGTAAAAGTATGATGGCATCATCGAACTTAGATGATGAGTTAATGATACTAATACAGCAGTGTCTATGCATAACAATTAAAAAGATAAATAAGCAAAGATGATGAGAAATTAGCTCACAGGAGCAGGATCGCAAGAATTAAGTGCTACACTAAATATGTATGAACACATATTTAAGTATGTGTATAAATTAAAACTTTGAGACTTGATACAGGCCAGCTGGAGCACTGGCTGCTTTATCTGCATGACGCGACTACTCATAACTCACATCTCTGAGCCAGATGACACGCTTTTATTGAAGAGAAATGCAAAGTGCAGAGAAACTGTTTCATAACTCCGCGGCTACAGAGCTAGGTAGCAAATAAGACACACGGAATTTTCAAAATGAAAACCCAACTTGATCGTTTGGAAAGCATTCTTCGAACACATCACCATATTTTCTTTCTTTTTTGAGATAGCGTTTTGCTATGTCCAGGCTGGCCCTGAACTCAGAGTGTAGCTTAAGTTGGCCTTCAACTCATTTCAATTCTCCTGCCTCAGCCTCCAGAGCGCTGGGATTATATATACACGTAGATACATCACTGTGCCCAACACACTGCTGCATTTCTTGATGTGACTACTTAGTCTTTTTCTCACAGTATTACATGTGAATGAGAAGCAGGTAGCTCAGGAATGTTCTGTTTCTAATGATATGAAATTAATGTTTTGCTTATTAATAAACAAAGCAAGTGCACTTAATGAATATTCAGTAAATACCATACGTGGTGCAGGAATACGCAGCAGTGTTTACTAATTTAAGACAGACCTTGCCAAATAGAGGGAAGAGTGAGAAATACAAAAGTTGAATCTGATTCCTGTGAGTTCCTTCACACAGTGGCTTTTGCACAAAGACTGGCTGCTGTTCCATGGTGATTCTGATGGAGTAAGGAGAGAAGGGGAAGGGGAAGGGGAAGGGAGGAGCCGTAACTGTCAATTTCTTGAAGGAGAAAAATACTTGAGTCCTCAAAGATGAGTTAAAAAAGTTACACAGGTAAGTGGATGGGAGGAGTACAGGGAAGTAGGATGGTGGTGTGCATGGGGGCCTTGTTTTCCTAATTTCTCTTTGCCTCTCTATTGGCAAAACTTGGCCTTTATGATGGATGGAAACATTCGAGGATCTGACCCTGAGATGTGTGATTCATCCTTTCAGGGTCTAGCGTCCTGGCAAATAATACATGGCATGGGTTTGTGCTGGGAGTATAAACTGAAATATGGTTTGAATTTTTACATACACACACACGCATGTACACATATGCACACACACATGCACACACGTGCACACATAGAGATTGGAGTTGGACTCTGGTAGTTTCCCACGTGAAGTTCTTGCATAAGGTCAGGAAGATTTCATAGGACATTTTCCTTTCCAACTGTTGGTGGCATCAAACCTTCTTTAAATGGTGCAGGAGCTGCAGTTCATACCACGTGTGGACTGGATGGCAGAAGTAGCACAACCTGTGGAACCAATCACAGCGCCGTAGGTAAGGTGCCAAATGACACCACAGTTCCCTCGTTGGGCCACTTTACCTCATCATCACTAGCACCTAATCTTCCTCCCATGAATCCCAAGGTCAGTCTAGTAGACTGCTTGGGCATTGTTTATGTCATGCCAGGCTGAGGACACACGATGGTGACAGCACTTAGCCGGGGTGGCGACGGCTCTTGCAGCGTCTTAGAGCAGACCTGTATAAGGTGCGGATCACAGGACCCACCACCTTGGGTAACTACGGTGTCATTCTTCCTAACTAGTTCTCTCATGGTGGTCACAGTGGCATCTCACATCATGATTTTCTGGTCCTAAATAAAGTGTGATTAAAACTGTGGTAAGAATCATGGCGAAGGGCCGGAGAGATGGCTCAGTAGAATAAGTGCATGCCTGGCAAGCGCAAGGGCCTAAGTTCAATCCCCAGTTCTAAAAAAAAATCATGGCAAAAGTAGAAAACAGAAAACAATCTGGCCATATTACAAGACATAGCATCACATGGAACTGGTCCTGGGGAGTGTGGGAACCAGGATGACATGGAGGTGTAGACATCATGCACATAAAGGTCCCTGCTTTTCTGATGTAACCACATAAGTGGGAGTGTTTCTCAGCTCAAGAACTAGTCTAGAGTATGTGGATTCACAGATGCAATATGTAAATATAAAATGTTTTATGCAGTGAATTAGGATCACTGGGGACTTCTGAGAGGCTCACTCTCGATGGGCCTCGTAATGTAAGCTCATCGTAACAGTTAATGCTCCTCTCTCTTTGGGGAGAAATCTGCAGGGTTGTGTGATGGGGCTGCCTAAGAGCCCAAGAAGAAGGGCACAGGAGTTAAATGAGGAACTCAGAAACAACCTCAGGAAGCTTTCCCTGTTATACCACTGCCTGTGAATTTTGTCTTCCGTGGGCCTCAGGGCCAGGAAGCTAGAGAGATAGGTTGGGGTTTTACCCGCCAACTCCTCACCCTGGAAGACAGCACTTGGCGGCTGCCCCAGCCCTGGTCTTCCCTGGCCCCTTTCTTGCATCTCCCCCATTCCCACTTCCCACCATGTCTCTGCGTGATTCTTTTGCTCAGTCCCTGGAGGATGTGCCACAGAGCTGAAGGTTCACATTGGAAGGGAGCACAAGTGGCAGAGAGATTCGCCATCGCATCTCTTCACTGGCAGAGTGATAATGGAAAAGCTGGCTCCGCTGGGCCCCCTCCACTGAGAAGTGTTTGTCATTCTGAACTGGAGTGGATGCCTTTTAGATGGTGAGAGTGGGGGGATGCTTTTCTGTCGCCACTGTAGCAGGCAGGATTCTAAGATGACACTCAGCGGCTGCCACTCCTGTGTCTTCCAGGGAGAATGGGTGGGACCCACCGGTGTGGTGGGAGGTCTCTGCTCCAAGCAGCTTGCTGATTGCTGGGCTTGCAGTACCTCCTGGAGGACATTACTCTGGGTGCACCTGGGCTAATCTTGTGAACCCTCCAAGACTTTGGAAGAATGAGGTATTTGTGGTCCTCAAAGAAGGAAGCGATCATGAGCTCCACTCTGGGGAGGGAATGGGCTCAGCTGTAAGAGCATGAGAAGGACTGAAAGCATGAGATGGGACCACAGCCAGGAGTCAGAGAGCACAGCCTTGTAGGGCCCTGAGCAGACCCAGCAGAGCTGAGTCCAGAACCTGGACTCACAGTGATGGGGTGATCATCAGTGTATGTTATTTAAACCCATAGGTGTAAAAGGCTGCAACTCTTGTTGCACAGGTCCTGCTTTACCTTGGTCTTAACCATCCAGTAGAGAAGTATGAAGACGAAATACAGGAAGTAAAGCCATGCTGTTATGTTGAGCTGTGGGGCACTCAGGTCAATAATTTCTGACATTGCCAGTTAAACAGAAGACCCAATGCTATTATGGGCTACTGGACTCTTGTAGAATATTTTGATGAGTTTACACACCTATAATATTCAGTAACGGAACTTAGAAAAAATGGGGTATACCGATGAATGTCCATTTTGTATCTGTGTATTCAACGTGGTTAGGATAGATATATAGTTACATTCTGTTAATGAATAGAATGATTTTTTCTAATGGTGTTTGTAAATAGGATCTCAAGTCTGCATCTTGTACAGCAATTAACCACTAAGAAGAATATATGCAGTGTATTATTTGTTGAAACTGTACTTCCGATTTGATTTGAAACTGTCTCATTGCTATCTGTTTATCAATAAAATTTTGAAAATAAATAAATAAATAAATAAAATATGAAAAAAAATAAAAAAGGCTAGCTACATAGTTTCCAATTAAAAAAAAAACCAGAAAAACCAAAACCTGTAGGTGTGTTGGAGACCACGTTGTATAGGGTTCAGTTGCTGGCTACAGGGGCCTCTGGCTGTATTAGAAAAGGGCTCTGAAGTCAAGATCACCACACCAGAGTTAGCCAAGGACCTGGGCTGCTGACGCCCCTATTCCAGAGCGATAAAATTGCCAATCTTAGAGATAAGACAGTTATCCTAATTGGCAAAATTTACTACCTGAAGTCTTTCAGTTGACTCCCAAGGTCCTGCTCAGTTTCCTGCACTTTCTTCAGTATCCCCCTCCTTTGTTTGAAAAACAAATACCTACAGGCCACCCAAAGTTCTTTGTCTCAACCCACAGGGAATCTCAAATTCTGTAAGAGGGTTTTGGTCTCTCAGAAGCCCTAAAATCACACCATTTGTTTATTTTATTTTTGTGTATTTAGGACAGAGTCTACAGGGTCCCACTACATAGAATATACTCATAGTGATTCTCCTGTTTTCAGTCTCCCAGGCACTGGGATTACAGGGGCGTACCACCAAGCCCAGTCTCAATCACCATCTCAGTGCGCCCAGAGGTGGGTCCATCGTGGCATACTGGGGATTGAACCCTGGCTGGTACACTACCTAAGCTGCTTCCTTAGTCTGCTGAACTATCTGGCTGGCCTTTTGTCTGTTTTATTTAAGCCACTCACCATCCACTTGGGTAGGAGATTGGGGCCAGGCCAAGACTCTGATTACAGTCTGAGAACCTAATGTATAACATGGCAACAGAAAGTGACTTGGGAGATTTTCAAACGAAGGTCAGTACTCACCCCACCAGGGTTACAACAGGTAACTTTGCAGCCAAAGACAGAGAGGGCCATGGCAACACTGAGCTCCAGCAGACTTAAAATGAGCACCATACTTTCCAGACCCTAAAAATCCAAGTATAGCAAAGAAATGAAGGAGATGTCAGGTTTCGACATTTACCATTCATTACAATGATCAAAGAAAGGCATTGAAAACCAGCTCCTAATTAAAACCAATTCATTGGTGAATTGTTGACCCACTGAATGTCATTTTTTCTGTGTATTCGCAGATAAAATGCTGTGCTTTCTCTTATTTGCTACATTCCAATGTTGCTTTGGGCACAGAATGTGAAAATACTTCAAAAAGGTGGTGGTAAAAAATGGCAATATTTACTATTGCCTAGTTTATATTCAGATGCTAGAAATTCCACATTGTTGCAATGATTTGATCTTGTCCTTGAATGACTATGGGCAAGAGAATGGTCAATTGAAAATGTCCACATTCTACTTTCCAGAGTTTCAGGATATGTAAGATGATAAAGGGAAAATGGATTTCAATTTGCAAATGAAATTAAAAATGCTTATTAGCCAACATGGGAAGGTTATCCCGGATTCTTCAAGCAAATCCGAAGTATTCACAGCATGCTTTACACATCAAAACACGGGTACTAAGAAGAGTAACTTACATTAGACTAATGTTAGTCCCTAGGGAAAACAAATGGAAGAGATTATTTATTGCAAAGAAGATACTGTTCTTTGCTCGGTCAGTGTCAACTTCCTAAAGTAACCTAGAAACTTCAGGAGGTGATTATTGCTTCTCCCACAGCTATCATGCTCCAGACTTGTTTTTCCCACGAGAAGATGAACTCACCACTAAAATGGTCAAGCGCATGAGACAAAAATCTGGTGGAAAGAGGAAAAAGTCGTAACACTCAAATAGCAAAGTATCTATGCTGACTGCCATAAGTAGGATGCCCACAGCGGCCAGCACGGCGCTGGTGATGTTCAGTCCTACGCTGCTCTGGATCTGGAAGGGAATGAAGCTTCATTAAGCAACACAAAGTCATCTTCTAGCACATCTCTGCCCATCGCCCTAAACTTTTCCCTTCTTTCCCACATGTTGTATCTTCACTACCTTGATGACGTCAACAGTCACTGTGGTAGACACTGGTTTGAAAGTTTTGGGTTATACTTGTTTGCTATGATGTAGCAACCTTACCAGGAATCCCTTTCATTAAAATTTCATGTACTTTCTAGATGGGGTTGAAGCGAACACAGCAGAAAGCCGGTAAATATTAAGGCACATCAAGGCTTTTGTAGGTAAATAGGGCAACTAGAGACCATACCAGTAAGTGAAATAAATCAGACCCCCATGTGCAGACATCATAGTGTCTCACTAGTGTAAAACCCTGAAAAAGTAAACAAAATCTAAAACGTACAATAGATACTGCACTTAATGTCACTATCTGTTGTAGGGTAATAACATCATTAAGTTTTACTGCTGGAGGGTTAACAATCTAAGCTTGCAGACAAAAAATTAGAGAAAAAGAAGGGCTACAAGGACAGCCAACATTTTGGTCTCAGCCTTTCAAGGTCAGTGAGGACTGAGGACATAAGAGAACCTGTACTGTTACATCCTGTAACTCAGTTGTGTCCCAAATTTTCTGATCAAGGAGATTATGGGGCCAAAGAGGAAAGTGATCGATGATGTAGAGTGTGCCCAAGGTGAATCTCATGGAGAGAAAACACTCTCTCAGGCTTTCACAGAGAGCAAACTGCTCAAGCAATGGTCGTGACTCATCCACTTGGCTGACACTGACAAAGGATCTACAAACTACGGTACAGGGTTTCAGGATAAATCCTGAGGGGATCTGATTGACCTTATCAAACACAAAAGTTACATTTCTTGTTATATAGGTCTTGCTTTATCTTGGTCTTAACTATCCAGCAGAAAAGTATAAACATGAGGTATAAAATGTAAAGCCATATTAATATGCTGAGCTGTAAAGAGCTCAAATCAACAACTTCTGACATTGCCAATCCTACGGATAACCCACTACTATTATGGACTACTGGACTATATTGGATTATTTTGCTGGATTCGCACACCTACAATATTTGAATGGCAATGGAATACCATCTCTGACAAAACTAAACAAAAAAGGGGGATATAAATGAAAGACCATTTTGTAGTAAAAAAATATATATCTGTATATAGAAATTAGTTAGGCCAGATACACAGATACTTTCTCTTGGTTCAATGAGAAGAAAGATTTGTACTCAGTGTTTAGACGAGATAGCATGTCTGCATCTTGTACTATGAATAACTACTATGAAGACAATAATGTACAACATATAAATTATTGTAACTGTCCTACTAGCCTGTTTTGAAACTGTCGCATTGCTATTTCTGTCTCAATAAAATTAATTAGAAAATAAGAACAATAATTTCTGAAAATATAAAAAAGCAATAGATATTGAGAAGGGGAAAGAATCTGTTCATTGGGATGGAAAAGCTGAGATGACAGGATGGACATGAGAGAGAAGGGGAAGAAATGTATTCATTTATGTATGCAGGATAGCTTGGGTACTTGTACTGCTGATTTCTTCTGGTCTTCTGAAAGGAGCAGTTAATGCTTAAACTTTTTCTTTTTCTTTTTTTCAATTTTGCATGTTTATATCTGGTAATCTAAACAACTACTTTGGGAGGCCTTCCTATTAGCTCAGTTATTTAAGCACCTGCTTATGCAAACACAGTCAGGCGCAGGACACCAAAGTTTGATCCCCTGATCCTCATGTCTTACCAGACCCACCCTTAAGGCAGCCTGAGCCAGTGAAAAAAAAGGGCTGAAGAGATGGCTTAGTACAAAAAGTGCTTGACTGGCAAGCGCAAGGTCCTGAGTTCAATCCCCAGCTCTACAAAATACAAATGAATAAATAAATAAAATAGACAACTACTTTGAAGATAATATAGTGTAATACATCAGCCATTGTTAAATTTCTATTATTTTGTTTGGTGAAATTCTGCATGTTTCTAATTTTTTTCTTTTTCTTTTATCATTTTGTATTCTCTTTAAAAGAGACACAGCAGTAGTGGGCAGCATTACCTACGGGCACAGATCTCCACCTCAGAGGCCGTCTGACAGAAGGCGCTGTCATGTACTGTCACTACTTCCCTGCATCCTCCAAAAGGTTCTATCTCCAACTACTTCATCTATATATTTAGTCTCATGCCAGTAATTAGATGGTAAGACAATTATTTAGCACACTTTTTGAAAGACAGCTTGCACCAGAAAAAACTTTCAATTTTTATGATTAAAGATAACAAAATCTGATTTGCAATCATTTATGACTCTTCAGCTTGTCTTTTTACTTGCTGACGGTTTCCTCTGCTCTGCAGAAGCTATTTGGTTTTATGTAGTCCTGCCCATTTATTTTTCCTTTTATTGTCTGAATTTTCATATAAAAAAGTAACCAAAAAGATATCACAAATACAACTTTCTTTCAAACCAAAGGGTTTTCCTGTCTTTCCAAAAGTTTTGGTTTCAGCTTTTACTAGTTTTATGTGAAAATTAAATAATTTCCACAATTATATTTTGTGGAAGCAGAACATAATTGTGTTCCTTTGGATTTTTATATCAAATCAAATCAAGTAACTAGTTGCCTCAAGCAGCTATGATGAACGATTAATTGCATTTGCTTTGAACCCCTGGTCAGTTTGCAGAAAAGGGCACCTTTACAGTACTGAGTTGTACTTTCTGTTTAAATACCCTCTTTCCACGCATTTCAGATTGCTCCTGCACAGAATTGTCAGTGTCACTTTTTAAGAGGCATTCATCATGACTCTAATTTTTATGGCCAGAAATTCTATTGTCGCAGTATACATATACATATGTAGACAATTGATATATATATATATATATATATATATATATATATATATGAAACAGGTGGATTTGATTTTAAATATCCACTGGTTTTTTTCTGTAGATTCTTTAGATATAGTGGTACAATAGGGACACCTGTGGATGACTATATTTACAGCTTTTCCCTTTTTTCTTTCCCTTTTTCTATTTCTTACTTAATTGCCCTGTGGAGACTTCTAGCACATGTCTAATATAAATGTTATCTTCAAAGTATAGAGATGCAAAGAGGTCAGCTTTAAAAATATATAAGAAGCCCACTGAAATCAAAAGTAAAAATTAATAATTAATGCCCAGACAAATGACCTTGTTATTCAATTTTCTATCGTTGTGACAAAATATCTGAGAAATCAACTTAAACCTGAAAAGATTTATTTGGGGTCGCAGTGTCAGAGGCATCAGCCCATGACCTGAAGAAGCCTGGTGGGGGAAGCTGCTCTCCGGACCTGGGCGGGATGCGGGGTGCGTGGAGGAGCCCGTGGGCTGCGCTTCCTCCTTAGGACACGGTTTCTGGATGGGCGGCCCTGGCGAGGACAGGACTCCGCCCGGCTGGCTGCCCCGCCTGCCAATCATCTGTGAAGACTCCCCCCCCCCCTTCCAGAATCGCGCTGCACGAATTTTCTAGGCGTTTCTCAACGCAGTCAAGCGCAAAGTCAAGATTAACCGTCACAGGCCACTTCGCAAAGAGCGGAGCGCGCGGCCAGCGATCCCGTGAAGACGTGCGCAGCATCGCGAAGCGTGCGTGAGGGTCAGATGGAAGCCACACTTTCGTGGCACCTCTCAGTTTGGCAGGGGGCCTTGTCGGTGTAACAAAAGGTAACACACCGTGGTGAGGGTGTAGAAGAAAACCCACCCTTGGACCCCAGGAAGCACGTCGGTGCGCCTACTGATGGAGGCGATATGGAAAGTCAAAACGCTAAACATGCAGTTGCTCTGTAAGCCAGCTTCACTGCTCGCAGCGCGCACCCGGAGGACACGGGAACACCACTCCAGCAGCCTCGCGCGCGCTCTGGCCCCTGCAGCACTCCCGCAGTCGCAACGGCCAGACGCCGCGCTGTTGCCGCCTCTGTTTGTCTGCACGCCGCCTGCGCAGCACGTATGCACAAAGCAGCGGCCTGGGACGCCAGCTTGAAAAGGAAGGGAGTCTGCCAGCTACGCCACAGATGGACCTGCGTCTGTTAACTGAACTAAACCCCACAGAATCTGAACTCATAAAAGCAGAGAAAAACACGGGGGAGAGAATAAAAAAGTGTCAAGTTTCAAGGGGAAAACACACACACACGCACACGCACACACACGCACACACACACACACACACGATAGCTAAGGAACATTGTACTGCTAGTTTCTATTGATTTATTGAGAGGAACAGTTGGTGCTTAATATTTTTGGACCAATTTTGCATGCTTATCTCTAGTAATCTGAATTCTTATTTTGAAGACAACAATATGCAATATAGCAACCACTGTTGATTTCATACCATCTTGCTTTTCGAAATTCTGTATTGTTTCTAATTTTTTTTTCTTTTTGGTGGAACCGGGGATTGAACTCAGACCCTTGCACTTGACATGGAAGTGCTTATTCTACTGAGCCATCTCCCTGGCCCCGTGTTTCTAAAGTTTTTTAAAATTGCTTTTATTCTCTTTAAAAATGTATGACGTTTCAGTTACATCAGAATTAAATTTTAGACAGAGTACACTGGCCAGTAAAGTAGATTTTCAGTGGCAGCATACCAAGAGTAAGTTTCCTACGTGAAGAAAGTGATACATTCACAAATCTAAGAGCGGTGATCCCATATCTGTGCTTATCTGACTACACGCCGTCGGGGGAACATTTAAATATACACATCTAAAAATGACTTTAGAAAACAATTTAAAGCTACATTAACATCTTTCTTTGCCCTGGAAATACACCGACTTGTTCAGTACATCCATGTTGAGTAGAAAAAAAATAAAGAAAATAAAGTGGAGGAATTCTCACCATCCCCTTTGTAGTTGTAGCGCCTGCTGCTATTGACAAGGATCCTGAAATAATAAACTAGGAACAAAGAAAAAGGTTACATTAACTTCAAACAAATATATTCTACAATTACTAAAACTGACTCACATATTAGATTCTTTAAACAAACCAATTTCCTCACAGAACTGAGTGTGCAGGTAACTCTTCCTTTTCCCAGAAGTGATAGAGAAATTCTGGCAGATGGATTTGGAGGGAAAATTTATTAGTCTTTCAAAGCATGTCTAGAGGCAGTGGCAGTAAAAGTCTCAAAGAAAAATAATATTTGCGAACTGCAAATAACAATTAACTCTAATACAGTGCCAAAATGGAAAAAAATTAAAATACTGAAACTGGTTTGTTTAAATTATATTTAAAATTTGTAAATAAAACAATAGCAAAGACAAATATCAATCCTTATTACTCGATGACTAAAAAATACTAGTTTATTGGATTCTATCAGTTAGGAAATTGTTTTGCCTTTAGCTTACAGGGCTCGAGTAACTCAGCGATTGCTTCCTTTTTTTTCTTTTTTGGTACTGGGGATCAAACTCAGGACCTTGTGCTTTCCAGACAGGTGCTTCAGCTGGCTGGAGTAACTCATTTGGACTTTCTGCCTTAAAAATGTTCATCTCATCTGGAGTTTGAGGTTGGCTTTCCATATTTAATAATAGAAATATCAAAATTTATATTACTATCAATTCATGGGGCAGTAGTTTGATAAATCTTTTCCACAAATTTCTGATGTGTAGAAATAAAAAAATAGAAATAATTAATGTAAACTTAATTGGATTTGGGAAAAAATCTAATACAAGGAATCAAACATCACAGTTTATGAGATAATTCATTACTGTACAAAATGTCTTCAAATATCCAGATATTTTCAATACTAAAATGTTCTTACAATTTATGAAGTTATTAGATTAAGGGAGAAAATTCTCATTGTAATTGTGGTTCTTACTGAGAAAATGAATTAATGTATATTATGTACAGGTACAAATTCCCTTTGGTGAAAGTGATGATTATATATCCAAACTCATTATCAGTAAAATTAATGAAAAAATAAGACATTTAACAAATTCAACATTGTGTCATTACTGATAAAATACGAAGAAATGTAATTTCCACAGTATTGCAGAACATCTAAATTAGTGGATTCCTTTTTGTGCTTAATAAAGAAATTCTAAGTTGAGTCAAAATTTAGAGGACAATTTGGACTATTATGCAATACTATTCTGGGACTATTAATCACAATGGTTGCACATGAATGTGTTTCAATAAATGCTACTGAGGATGTGGAGAATTTCAGTGGGAATGTGAACTAGCACAGTCATTATGGATAATAGAATGGAGGTTGCTCAAAAACTGAAAAATAGAGCTAGCACAGGACTCACTACTGGCTATACATCGAGTGGAAGTGAAGTCAGTCTTCTGAAGAGACATCTATACTCCGTTTTTGTCATAGCAATGTTCACAAGATGCAAGAAATAGAAACAACTAAGTTTTCATCAACTGATAAATGGATAAAGAAAATGAGGCACAGATATACAACGGAATACCATTTGGCTATTTACAAAGATTAAATCCTGTTATTGGTGATAAACTGTATTGAACTAGGCATCATTAGATGAGGTGGAATAAATGAAGCCAAAATACACCACATTGTCTCACTTATAGGTAGAACGTAACAGGTTGATCTCTTCGAAAGTAGTAATATACTTAAGAGAGGCCCTGGAGAGCGAAGGGGAGGAGCAGAGCAAAACTGAGCCGTGTTCACGGAGTTACTGCCAGGTAAGAATAAGTTCCACTGTCCTGCTGTGCAGTAAAACAGCTACAGGTAAGGACCACGCACTAAATATTTCATAGGTAATGTCTTAACCACAAAAGATGATGGATATATGTATTATAACATCACATGGCACCCCAGAAATATGAACAACTTTTATATCTTAATGAATCCATTTTAAAAATAAAACTTAATTTAAAAAAGAGACAGAAAGTAGAACAAAATTGTAACAGTAGGTTAATCTGGATTGACGGTCGGTATTATTGTTATTCAACTGTAAATTAAAATTCAAAGAGAAATTGAAATTTAGAAAATGTGCTTTGTATGAATAATTAAAGTGAATATCATTCAAATATGAATATAAGTTGGGGTACAAATAAAAATTATCAATTAAGAACTATTACAGACATAAGAAAGTTTAGTATGATGGGTGGGACCCTACATATGGAATACATATACACATAAACAATATTTGAGTTTATTGTTAGTTAAGAGTAATGAAAGGATTTTATTTACCATACTAAAAGTATACACAAATGGCCCTCATAGTAAAGAAGTCAAAGATCTTTTCAAGGAAAATTATAGAGCTCTTAAAAAAGAGGTCATAGAGAATTTCAGAAAATGGAAAGATACTCTATGCTCCTGGATAGGAAGAACCAACATTGTGAAGATGGCCATACTCCCAAAATTGTTGTACAGATTTAATGCAATCCCTATCAAACTACCACCAACATACCTCACAGAGCTAGAGAAATCATTCCTAAAATTTATTTGGAACCAGAAAAGACCTAGAATAGCAAAGGCAATACTGGGCAACAAAGACAAGGCAGGAGGCATTACAATTCCTGACTTGAAATTATACTACAAGGCTACTGTGATAAAATCAGTATGGTACTGGCAATGAAATAGACCTGAGGATCAATGGAATAGATTAGAAGATGCTGAAGTACCTACAAACACACTCAGCCACCTTTTCTTTAACTAAGGGGACGAACATACTCACTGAAAGAAAGATAGCCTCTTTAACAGATGGTGCTGGAAAAATTGGCTTTCTACATGCTGAAAACTAAAACTTGACCCTGGTCTATGACCATGCACTAAGCTAAAGTCAAAATGGATTAAAGATCTAAACAGTAAAACAAAGACACTAAATCTCTTGGAATAGAAAGTAGGAGGAACTCTTGAAGACATAGGGGTAGGCAAACAGTTTATGAACAAAAATCAGATTGCAAGGGAAACAGTTGAAAGAATTAACAACTGGGACCTGCTCTTATGGAGAAGTTTTTTCACGTCAAAAGAAATTACCAACAAACTGAAAGGATAACCCACAAATCTGGAAAAAATCATGACAAATAAGTACTCAGACAAATGTCTGCTCTCTAGAATTTATAAAGAACTAAAAAACACTAGGGCCCCAAAATTTAAAGACCCAGTCCAGAAATGGGCATCCGAGATGAACACACACTTCCCAGAGGATGAAATTAAAGAAGCAAATTAATATATGAAAAAAATGCTCCACATCACTAGCCATCCACGCAATGCGAATTAAAACAACATTGAGATATCATCTCACCCCAGAAAGAATGGCTATCATAAAAAAATCAACCAACAACAAATGTTGGAGAGGCTGTGGGTAAAAAGGAACCCTTCTCCACTGCTGGTGGGAATGTAGACTGGTACAACCATTATGGAAATCAGTGTGGAGGCTCCTTAGAAAACTAGGACTGGTAATCCCATTTAAACCAGCTATTTCTCTACTGGGAATTTTCCCAGAGGATCTGAAAACATCATATCATAGTCATATATGTGTTCCTATGTTTACAGCAGCACAATTTATGATAGTCAAATCTCGGAAACAACTTAGATGCCCATCACATGAGGAATGGATGAAAAGGATGTATTTTTATACAATGGAGTATTACTCAGTTATAAAGAATGATAAACTTGAAGCCTTTATATTGAAGTGGATGCCACTTGAAGATATATTCATAAGTGAAATAAACCAGACACACATGTGTAAATATTGTATAGTTTCCCTAGTATAAGAACTCAAAAGAATAAATACAAATAGAAAGGTATAATACAATTAAGAGTAACGAAAGAACTTGAGGACTAAATAATTAAGAGAGGGAAAGGAGAAGAGCTAGGAAACATGACAGTGGCAAGCCATACAGTTATATGTAGAAGATGGGTAAGGCAATGATCCTTCAGAAAATTTTTGAATCTAGCAGTTAATTGGAAAGATTCTCACCCTGACTAACTATGTATACTGACACCTGTGAACTAAGCAACTGCACTGAAGATGGCAATTTGTAATAGTAGGTTCATTCTTGGAGTGCCTGTCATTCTGGTCTTCTGAATACAGGCTGCTTGTCATGACATGCCCATTGCATTCTTGGGCAGATGATTGTTCAAAAAGAAAGGGGTGGTGAATGAAGGCAGGAAACAAGACAAAGAATGCTGCGGGACCGTCCTGCTTCAAAGTTGTATGGTTAGATTTCTAGACTTATGTGTAAGCATCAGAATTATATAATTCTTTATGCCTATTTTCAAAATATATTTTAAATTTTTAATTTTTTTCATCATATTCTGTAGGGACTTAAAGTTCAACATATCAATACTTGATGAAAAATACCTGTTCCATGTTCTGCCTAAGATGTTTGATATTCAGACAGATAGTGAGGTTAAGCTTAACAGCCTAGGTTGTATGGTAATAACAATAAGTTTCTTTTCTGGAGGGTTAACAACCTAAGTTTGCAGATCAAAATTGGAGAAAAAGGTGGGCCACAAGGAAAGCCAACATTTTGGCCTCAGTCTTCCAAAGTCAATTAAGACTTAGGACATATGAGAACTTGTACTGTAATGTCATGTAACTCAGTAGTTTCCCAAATTTTCTGATCAAGGAAATTATGGGGCCAAAGAGGAAAGTGATTGATGATGTAGAGTGTGCCTAAGGAGAGTCACATGGAGAGAAAACATTCTCTCAGGCTTTCACAGAGAGCACATTGGCCAAGCAATGGCCATGACTCATGCACATGGCTGACACTGACAAAGGATCTACAATCTGAGGTACAGGATCTCAGGATAAATCCTGAGGGGATTTCACTGACCTTATCAGATCCAAAAGCTACAACTCTTGTTGCATAGGTCTTGCTTTATCTTGGGCTTAACCATCCAGCAGAAAAGTATAAAAACGAAGTATAAGAAGTAAAGCCATGGTGTTATGTTGAGCTGTAGGGGACTCAGGTCAACAATTTCTGATATTGCCAGTGAAGCGGAAGACCCAATACTATTATGGACTATTGGACTCTTTTAGAATATTTTGCTGAGTTAACACACCTATAATATTCAAATGATGGAACTACACAAAAAGGGGATACAGATGCATGTCCATTTTGTATCAGTGTATTGAGAATGGTTAGGCTAGATATATAGTTACATTCTCTTAATGAATAGAGGGATTTGTTCTAATAGTGTTTGTAAATGGGATAGCATGTCTGTATCTTGTACAGCAAATAACCACTAGGAAGAGAGTATGGAATGTGTTAATTATTGAAACTGTCCTACCAATTTGATTTGAAACTGTTTCATTGCTATTTGTTTCCCAATAAAATTATGGAAAAAAATAAAATCAACACACACACACACACACACACACACACACACACACACACACTCACACACAGAAGAAATGGCCCTCATGCTCAAGGTTTGAACTCTGTGGAGTGGGCTTCAGTAACCTGAGCAGCCATGGATTTTAATTTAGGGACTCAGGCGTCCCAGTAAGTCCCCTGTGAGTATGCACATGTATACACACACACACACACACACACACACACACACACAGAGGATGGACATATGAAAACATACACACATGTGTCTAACTTGCGTGTGACCTCTCTAGGCATGATATCTCATAGAAATAAGCTTCAAGGAGTATTAAAATTACATGTAAGTAAAGCTTTACAATGATTCAGAAGTATGCAGCAAAAAAGCCACATGAATAAAGTGGGTATAGTTTTATGGGATTATAATGAAGGGATTGCACTGATGATTAGTGATGAAAAATGAGAGAAATTCCAAGTTTTCTTCTGGATATTTCTATATTGTACACCATAAGGAGGAAAAATGACACAGTTCATAGTTCGGGCTTGACTAAAATAGAAAAATTAATAGAAATTGGCAGCAAAAGTCACCCCCAACTGGGGCTGGGAAGATAACTCAGTGGAATAAATGCTTCTCTGGCTAGTGCAAGGACCTGAGTTCAAATCCTAGTTCCAAAAAAAAAGTCCCCCAACTTCAGCTAAGGTGTTTCTGGAGGGGCGCACACAATAGTCCAAGCGATAGCTCAGCGGACACACAGCACCTGCCTCCTGCAAACCCACGAAGGATCGCCTGAAGTGCACAAACTGGAGGCCAGTGAGGGTTTGGAAAGTCAACAAAGCAGGCATCAGGCAAAGAATGTTGTTAGATGATGCATTTCCCAGCTATACTGACGCTGCTACGTGAGCCCCGGTGCCTGTACTTGATAGTAGTGGGACGCTGTGATTGGGTTACCTCATCGAAGCCCCTCTTTCTCCATCCATACAGCGTAGACCGTGAGGAGGCTTAATCCTCACAAGTCCGCTGATGGTTGGGAATCACACTGCAGGAACAGAACACTCCGTGGGGCTCCCAGTTGCAGCGCAGCTTACTAACTGGTTCTGTGGGTGCTGGCCACACTGTATTTGATACTTAAGATGTGTGCAGCCCTGGAAATCGAGCAGCACTCGCTGCCCCGGCTCCTAGCCTCACCTGCGAACTGGAAGGGGAGCAGGACTGCGGCGCTGCCATTGCGCTCCATTGTGCTGTTACTTTGAGGAGGAAGAGGAGATCTCACAGCACCCAGGTTTGGTTTTCTGACACTAACACTCCTCTCTATGTGCTACTGTTCTATCTTTAGTAGGTGAAACTTGATATTTCACACATTCTTTTTATAGCCTTAATCTTTAAGAACAATTTTCTTATGTCTTAACTTGGGGAAAAGAGTCTAAAATTCTAGCTTTAATTTATTTGCATTTAATATCAATTATCAGAAAATGTAATTTATCAAACAGCTATTCTAGCTGTTAAGATGACTGCTAAGATTTGATTTGACAGGTTGAATGCTACACATGACTACAAATAGAATGCATCTATGCGTTGCCAAATGCCTCTCCTTTTGTTTCTTCTCAACTTCAGAAGGGACCCCTTCCAAGCCACAGAGATGGGTCTGGATTAGACCAATTATGATAAGTCCATTATCTACAAATGACTTGAGAATAAGCACATAAAATATCCATGACCGTGATGCATCTGGCCTGGCTCTATCCCAGAAGACCTTATAGCAAACATCTATGACCATGATGCATCTGGCCTGGCTCTATCCCGGAAGTCCTTACAGCAAAGATCTATGACCATGATGCATCTGGCCTGGCTCTATCCCAGAAGTCCTTACAGCATTGATCTGACTCACCTGGATGTGGCTGAGCACAGGTGCTGACTATGAAAGGAAGGCTCATTTCTGCCTTAAGCCTCTGAGATTGGGTCTTGGCCGCCTGTAGCTGTCATATGCCCTGAGCCTTGCACATGGAATGTTTCGTCTGCCCTGCTTTCTAGGAGTTCTCCATCCTTATTGCCATTTTAAATATGGGAAAACTGAGTCAAAGCAATATTAGATACTTTCTCAGATTTATACCACATATAAGTGATATATGTGCACCTATATTGATAACAGCTCAATTTGTCACAGCTAAACCCTGGAAACAAGCCAGATGCCCATCAATTGAGGAATCGGTAGAGGAGATGTGGGATGTTCACAAAATGCAGTATTATTCAGCTATAAGACAGGACAAATTGAGGCTTTTGTTGGTAAACAGAGGCAACTAGAGACCTTGCTCCTAAGTGAAATAAAGCAGATCTGTATGTGCAAACATCATATAGTCTCCTTAGTATGAGAACCTGAAAGAGAAATTGGAATCTGAAGGGTACAGTAGACACTGGAAATGAAAATAAACTTATTCTAAATGAAAGAGTTACTGAGTTGAGGAGAAGGATAGGAGAGGGAGTGCAGGTAAGAGATTTATCTATGAACGTAAGCAGGATGGTTTAACAACTGTACTGTGGATTTCTGCTGGCTTATGGAAAGAAGCACGTAATGCTTAACTTGTTTTGTTTCCTTTTTTCAATTTTTTCCCTCTTAATTTAATATATATTTCTTTCTTTTTCTCTTTCCAATTTTGCATGCATATATCTGGTAATATGAATAACTGGTTGGAAGACAACACTACGTATCACAACAAATACTGTGAAATTCATATTACTTTGTTAGGCAAAATCCTATATCACTTGTAATTTTTCTGTTTTACTATTTTGTACTTTCTTTGTAAAATAAAAAAAAAAACTTATAGAAATAGAGGATCATGTCAGGACAATAATCCAGCACCAGGATATTAACCATGGTGTGACCTCGCATGATTATGGACAGGGCTGACTCACCATCACTGAACCCCAGATGGGGTACCCTAGGCTGAACATAATGGGGTGCTGATTGTGGGCAGCTACCAGGACGGTCATGGCGATGATTCCCAAGCTGAAGTTCATCAGAGCAATCAGAATCTGCAGGACCTAGGGATGATGAAAGAGCATAGGTCGCCATCGGGGAGAACACGTGCCTGCACAAGCTTGTTCCCCACTGCTTAGCTCTACCCATTTCCCATCCTTTGATAAAGCCAGATCCCTTCTGCATATTCTGCTGTCCCTTTCTCTCACAGAGGGAATCCCTCAGAAGACACGTCACTGCCCTAACAATTTCACAGGTGCAAGGAGTTTTCCAAAATGTGCCCAGCTTTTTTAGGCCTACAGTGCTACTTCCACCACATGTGTTTCTTTCCCTTGTCATGTGCTGAGAGAGGAGTCTGCTAGGACTTAGGAAGCACTAATTCTATCAAGGAGCAATAATTAGGAAAGGAGATGATATGCGTGAGAAGAAAAACAGGAGAAATAAGGTATTCACAGGTGCTGGGGATTGTAATTATAGGATCCCAGGTGGGAGAGGATGGTGTTTCCCAGAATATGAAAAAAGAACTATATAAAATGTGCTTGCTCTTAGCCCAAAACTGAAAAGTGATAGGATTTATATAAAAGAAAATGAAAACAGTTTATAAAATTCTATGACACAGCAAACGTGGTGCTTAGAAGCTCCAAAGCACATATTAGGTAAGAAGGAAGACCTAAAAATCAATCACCTAAATTTCCACTGTAGGACACTAGAAAAGAGCAAATTCATTTCAAAGTAAGCAAGGAACAAATGCAAAAAGTAGATCAAGATCAGTGAATTGAACATAGAAAAGCAATACACATAATTAATACCACTGAGAGCTGCAAAATCTCTTTGAAAGATAAAGGAGCCTGGTGTCATGGAGCGAGCCTGTAATGCCAGCGCTCTGGAGGCTGAAGCAGGAACATGCCAGGAGTTTCAAGTCAGCCTGGGCTACATAGGGAGCCTCCGCCTTACTAAATACATAAACAAAAAGTGAAACAATAAGACTCTAATCAGGTAAATTAGAAAAAGAATACTGAGGACATAATGTCCTGAGGCGGGGCGGGACTGTGGATTCCATAGGACAGAAGCAGGTAGTAGAAGGACACGAGAAACAATCACCTTCCTCACTATTTGCTGCACAAGACAAAATGAATCTGTCACCTCTTGCACACACACTATGCCAGTATTTGAAAGGCAAAGTGTTGTGTAATCCCAACTGTGTGAGTTTCTGGAAGAGGCGGACTATGGCTACAGTTAAGGGTCAGTGGATTCTGGGCTTGGGATAGCAGGACTTCCAGGGGCAGGAGCTACTTCGTGTAATACTGTAACGATGGTGCGTTCCCTTCTGCATGTGGCAGTACCCACAGAGTGTGCAGCATGGACGGCGAGCCCTAACGTAAGTGTGCATGTCTGCCAGCGCCACGAGTCGGCGTCGCCTCCCCAGCTGTAGCCAGCAAGGCACCTGTCCAGAGCGCTCAGCGCAGGCAGGCGCGAGTATGGAGCAGTGGGCCTTGAGATGCAGCCCTTCTTGATTTTGCTATGAAGCTAAGGCTGCTGCAAAGCAGTCTAAAATACATATTAATATGTTTGAAATTAACCTCAGTGTAGCGGGCATATCACATATGTTGGAAAATTAAAGCCTGTAATGCACCCATGATGAGTTTTTCCCTTGCTGATTTCAAATTCAGGGTGGGGATCAACCACAACCTTCAAGACCCCCTTCTCTATCGTGGTTTTCTTTCTAAAGTCTCCCTTACGTTTCATCACAGTGATCTCAAATTCAGAGGGAAGTGCTTGAAGAAAGGAAGAGCCTGTCCTCTGAGGAGCAGCGCTGAAAGAGCTCCAGAGAAACAGGAACCCCCCGGGTCCTCACCCACAGCAGGCTCAGAGGGACGTCGGCCAGGACACACAGAAGCTTTCCTGCTTCTTTCTGTTCCTGTCATCGAAACGACCAGCAACTTAAAATAGATCTGAAGTCATCGTATTTAAATAGTGCTGAGCCCGAAGTGCGATGTGGTAGAACACAATATCATTTTCCAGGGATGAATCCCAAGAGTCAAACACGGATCGTTCTCTACAGGTTGGTGTGTTCCGAGGCCGCGGGGACAGGACTTCGGCATTAGCTGCGTCAAGAGGGAGCTCACAGCACGGCCGCTCTGCTCTCAAACCTGCCAGTGGCTTACCCCGAGGACTTTGGGTTCCCCTTTCAAGAACTTCTCAGCCATCCGTCTCCGCGAAACCGAGTGCAGAGCGGCAGGCTGCTGCAAGTGCTGCAGGGCAGGGCCTGCGTCCTCCCGGGTGGCTTCCACGCTGTGCATGGTTGCTATGGCGGCAGACTAGGAACTGCAATGGAGGCGAGGTCCTGGGAATGACAAGAAAGGAGCGTGGTGCTCCCAGGCGGTTTTCCCCGCGAGGTCACGCCCGCGCTCTATTCCCTTCCTGTGTTGTAACTGAGCCCGGGAAGTGGCAGCCACGGCACGTAGAGAGTGCCAGAACCCACCCTCAGACCTCCGCCGCGCTGCTTCTACGCTGACGTGAGTGACGCGGAGGGTCATTAAGCAGCAGCTGCTTATGGTGTCGCGGATGCTTCACTGAGCCGCCGCGGAAACCTTAGGTTTGGACCCGCATGCCCTCCTAGTAGTAGCGCAACACGAAAAATATGCAGTGTCCAAATTTGCTCTGATCAGAGCTATTCACGTTTAGCTGGAAAAAAGTTCGCTCCCTGCTCACACTTGATTTATCAAGAGAACCATTGTTAGCTATCAAAAGTCGTAAGTAAAAAAAAAATAGTATGTCAAACAAAGGAAACTATAAGAAAAATAAAATAATATATTAATAACTTAAAACATCATGTTTAGTACCATACATATTAAGTGATATGCAAAGTTCTGTGTAAAAAGAAAAGAGAGGTTATAAAATAAAAGCAAATAATTAAAAATATAGAGAAATATAATGATAAAACACATAATATGAATGAATGAGCTTAAAGTATTTAGAAATGGAAATTAAATAAAACTAAACAAAATTAGTGTTTATTCTCTTTTCACCCAGAAAGGTTTCAAAAACAGTTCAGAGAAACAGGTATGCAACCTCAGTTATTTACAAAACCGGGAAATGATCATAAATCAGAGGAAATGACTGATAGAAATGAAGACTGCGTCAGGAAGAACTTGTGTGCAATTACAGAGACAGAGTCAAAACAGCAAACCACGGCCAGAGGTGCTTATGAAATGTCAGAGGAGTCCTAAGGAGTAAGACATAAATTACTATTACTTTTTCTTTTTTTATGTATTTGGTTGTAGCAGGGTCTCACATGTAGCTCGGGCTTATGGTGATTCTTCTGCTTTCAGCCTCCCCAGTGCTGGGATTACAGGCTTGTGCCACCACATGTGGACTCCGGCCAGCTCAGCACGCCTTGGGGGCGGGACTGGAGCAGCATGTGGTACCAGGACTCAAACCATGGTCCCTGAACTCGCCTAAGCTTGCCTAAGCTATTGCTTTAGTCCGCTGAGCTATCTCACCAGTTCCATAAATTATTTATAGACTGGGGATGCATTCACTACTTGATGGCTCTTAGTTTGGAAACAAAATCCCAAAAAGCAGAGAGAACAAGAGTAGAGGAGAAATCCTCTCCAAGCAAAGTCAAATTTGTTAAATAATCCATTTCATAATCTATTTGAGGCCACAAAGAAGAAAGCAGATTTCCTCCATACACACCTTGTGGCAGGGCACAGAAAATGATCCTTTACCTTACTCCCAGCAAGCAAAGACCACCGTGCTGGTTAAACTACGTATCTTCTCTGGATTTCTTGCACATCATCTGAGGAAGAGCTCATAGGCAGGATTTCTCCCAGATTCTCCTTTGTTTGTATAAAGCTAAGTGTCTTCATGAAGACTTCCACTAGTGGGCATCCCCATGACAACCTTTATTCCTGTCTTGGGTGGCTCAAGAATGGCCTAAAGGGACTGGGAAGACAGGACCTGTCTCAGAACCCCTCTAAGTGCTTTAGAGCAAGGACCTCCCTTTCTTGACTTCATTCCTGCCAAATTATGCCAGAGACAGATCTTTTCCTAACTGGTGAATTATAAAAATAACAAATCAGTGAGAAGGAATAAAGTACATGTAAGAAGGGATATACAGAGTATACATGAAACAATTAGCCAGAAGTCTAGAATATTGCTTTCATTTGTTTGATAGAGCAGAAATTTAGAGAACAAAAGTAACTAAGACAGCCATGCACAGTATGTGGCTCTCCCTTTGTCCTTGCCTTTTTTGGCTTCAGCCTTTGTACCTAAGAATAACCCTCAAATGTTTCACGTCTACTCTCAGAGGTGAGCTCAAACCTTCTCCTAAACCAGGAAACCAGCTTGGAATCAAGGGAGATGGCTGTATTCTCTCTCATTCCATTCCTGAGTGTGCTAAGTTATCCATGGAAGCTCATCAGCCCCTAGGAAGGTGCCTCCCACACCCACCTTCCTGCAGCTGCAAGGTGTGCAGTTCATCCGAGGAGGACCAGGCTTGGTAGAGTCTCCAGTTCTGCATCCAGTGTGGTCTGTCAGGATCTCTCCCACCTTCTTTTCGATCTGCGAACTCGTAGCACTTTTTCTACATCCTATCGGCTGTGCTGAAATGGCAAATTTCTGAGGAAAACAATCAGTTCATTTTTGGTGTTGTGGTGGACCAAACCCAGGCCTTGCCCACAGTTCCCTTTTTATATTGGGCACGTGGACTGTTTTTGGTCTGTGAAATGTGAGTGTGTCCTGTGTGCATCTGTTATGCAATTTGCTGCGAACAGAGCAGCTTCCTCGCATGGTGTTTCAAGTGACAGTGACGGTGCTCACTTTGGGGCTGCATGGCGTGTGCAGCAGACTCCATTCACTTTTTATACAATGCCGGGCTGGGATAATGGCTTCCCAAAGGTCTGTGTTTGCCTCAGCCCATGGTGTACTGGGAAGTGGCTGAGACTTTAGGATGTGGGGTGCAGTGGGAGCAACCTAGGTCATCCTGTGCCCTGAAAAGGAGCTCTGGACACCCATTTCCCTCACTCTCTTTGCTTCCCAGCTGCCACGTGGTGAGCTGGCTTCCTGGCCACACCCGGACCATGCTGTTCTGCACTGCCATGGCTCCAGAAGCTGGGTCCCAATGAGCGACGCATGGATCCCGAAGGCCTGAGCCACACTGCGCTCTTCTTCTTGTACAGAGGTTGACACAGGCGTTTTTTTTTTTTTTTTTTTTTTTGCAGTGATGGAGTGCTGACTCCAAAGTATGCAGAGTGCATTTTTAGTGGCAGTTAGAAGCCTACAGAAAAGTCCAGCTTTGAAATTTCATACATTTACAGGTTACCTTCATCTATCTACATAATTGTGTTATTGGTTTATGCAAAATTTAATTGTGCTATTGAGATCAGACTCCATGTTCAGAGCTCATTGATGGCCCTAAAGGGGTAATAAATTGATAGTTTTATCAATAATTAATAGGCCTTTGCAAGTCAAAGAGTCATGTGCTACACAGACATCTGTGTTGCATACTAAAATGAACTCAGGTGCTGTCACTTATTGCGCAGCCCTGTTATTCTCCTGGCCCTCATAATCCTCATTTGTAAAATGAAAACAATGCCTCATGCGAGAAAAAAGGAAAACTAGTGTTTTCATTCTTGCAGGATTCTTGCTGGAGAAATATTATTACATCCTGTAGGCAAAACAGGGCGGAGGAATTGACACAGTCTCCGCCACCCCAGGAGTTTATTGACTGCTGAGTGATGGAGACCAGAAAACAGCATGTACGTCCAGAGCAGCCCATTCTCTGCAAGGCGGGACATGCTCAGAGCCCATAAGAAGATCAGCAGCCCTCGACCTGAGGAATCCAGAGATGTCCTGGCGGAGGCTCATCTAACCCCTGAAAACCACGTAGGAGACATTAACGGAGGGAGGGCGAGGGACGGGCAGTGCCCAGAGAAGTCAACCAAGTGCCAAAGAAGGCCAAGGACCAAGGAGATCTGTCTGTTGACTGAACCTCGACAGAGCTTCCGAATGAAGAAGACAAAGTAGAGAATAAACAGTCACATCCAGCAGGGGTTCAGTTACCTTGGGGACTGTCCCTGTGAGTCTGGGCTGCCCTAGTAGGATACTGCAGGATGCGAATCTATGTCTGAGAGTCCTGGGTGTCTGGAGCCCAGCACCAATTGAGCATGGCCTGCTCTGGAGAGGAGCTCTTCCCGATTGGGGATGACCATCACATGCTAGAGAGCAGAGAAGAGACCTGGGCCACTCTGACAGTGACATCAGTGCCACCACTGAGGACACCAGCCTTACACCTGGATTACCTACGAAAGATCTCACCTACTAATCTGCTTCCTTCAGAGGCTACTATTTCAGTGCATCAGTTCTGAGAGGAAAAAATCTTGCCCACAAGAAGAATTACAGAAATTATTTTACAAGTCAGAAGAATTTGTAGTAAATTCTTCTAAGAATTGACTAATGTGTAGCCTGTCCTGGCTCATGGTCCTCAGCTGAGTCTTTGCAAACTGACTTTGCGCTAAATAGAACTGAAACTAAGAGATTTTCACACAAGTAATATGCATGAGATTTGAATCTAGTTACAAATACAGTGCAATCCACCTTCTTGCAGAAGGTCAAAACAGAATTCAAATGAGTTATGTGCACGGGCCAATCTGTCCTCGGATGCACAATCTCTATAGGCTGCAAACGTACTGATAAACATAAAATCTAAAACATTAAAAAAAAGAAATGAAACATATATTTTAGAAACACCGTCCTTGCTGCCATGGAAGTCAAGCATGGGAGTGAAGAATCCTGACTCAGAAGCACAGACTCACAGGAGACGCAGCTCCCCAGGAGTCGGGGTGGCAAGGAGACGCTTGGCCTGCCAGCTGTGGTGTTGAGCTGGAGGAGGAAATGGGGAGCTGCACCAGATATTTATGGGGTAGAAAGAACTGTCCCTGGAGACTCTCTGGGATATGAAAAAGGACGAGAAAGCACCCTGTGGATTCTGGCTTAGGGAAGTGAATGGTCACTAGGTCAGGAGACAAAGAAGGATGAAACAGGAGCACAGGAACAAACCATACAATTGGGGACATGTTGAGCTTGAATTGTGTAGAGACCCACAAAAGGGTCAGCAGCTCAGAGCTGGCCAACTGGGAAGTGCGAGGGTTTCTTGGAGGTGGAGACAGAGGCGAACCCAGCAGCCCTCTGCGTGGGGATGCGGGCCCCCAGGGCTGTGCTTGGAGGCAGCGATGGTGGACATCTTTGCAAGGAGACAGAATCATTATTGGTAAAGATAGGACTCCCCAGGTGATTAAAGGAGAGGGAAGGGAGGGAACTGCGAAGCAGGAAAATGTGGCGTCCCAGGACCCGACGCCCCAGTCTCCTGAGCTCACAGGGCGGGCTGGCACAGGCAGTAGTGCCCGCCCTAGACTAAGTTTGGGTCTAGAAAGTGGTTGGGACACAGCACAGCTCAGACCTCCGGTGGAGGGAGTGCGCTCCGCCCAGAGGGCAAGGCGACCTGCGGCTGGTAGGAGTGTGCTGCGGCTGTCCAGGCAGCCACTGGCAGGAAGTATCCTTTGCAGGGCAGAAGAAACCGAAGCTGACACAGTTTCTATTCTTAAAAAAGACCTTGTGGGTTGAGCAATATGCCCGGGAGAGATCAAGTGACCGCGGAGCCCAGGGCTCAGGGTCACGGAGCCCTCTGCCGCAGCGAGCTTGGCCCTGCTTTCTCACAGCGATGCAGAGCTCTTTGAGCGCGGCCCACTCTCCCAGGCGCGCACAGCACATGGCTCTGCTGCTGGACTCCTGCTGTCTCTGAGCACACTGATCGGGCAGCGCCAGGCCTTAGCACCACGGTGTGGACCAGTGGCCAGGTCAGAGCACTGGCGGGGTCTCCCACTCCAGCTCCGCGTGTGCTTGCAGCTCCGCACCCTGCACCCCCGAATCTAGGATCCGGAGTGTGAATCTGTGAACTGTGCTTGAGTGGTTTCCTGTTGGCAGGTGGAGTGTTGCTCAGTTAGGGAGCTATGCTGACGGTTTCTGGCCACTAGAAGAGGGTCTGAGAGGGGCCAGCACCCGCAGGAACCGTTTCATATCAGGGAGAGTCCCGGAGAAGTCCGGGAAAGCAGGGTCTCTGTTTCACAGAGCTCCCCGAAGGGTGCTCCTAGTCGCGTTCGTGCCTTCACTTCTGTGGTCTTCCCTGTGCTTTGCTGTTTTTCCATATTAATGCATATTTTCCTTGTGTTTGTCTCATTATTTATGTTTTAAAATTCTTTAATTGGACTCTGTCTTCCTTTCTTCGCTCCTCATTTTGTCATATATTCCTTTTTCTCTCGCTTGTCGTATCTCCTCTTTCTTCTCTTGCTCCCCTTCGCTTGCACTTTTGCTGGATGTTGTGGTCATCCGAGCCTTTTCTGGCACATTCTCTGCCAGCGTCTCCCACTTACTGTTCTAAGTCCAAGGCGTTGTCTCCATCACTTTCACTTGATTTGGTTTGCCTTCCAGTTTTCTTTGCTGTGAGTCGTTTGTCTTCCCCCCCGAGGGGTGCTGAGGGTGTCACCCAGCCCTGTGACATGTGCAGGGGGTGCGTGGACCCTGAAACCATCGCCCAGGCTGCGTTACAGAGGAGGCTGCTCGCTAAATCATCATCACTTACAGAAGAAGAGTTACCCACGGGAAACATTTGAACTCGGGGAAACAAATGTGAGAAAATAGGGCAAAAAGATAACTCCAAAAGTTTATAACTTCCCACGGACCAAAGCCATGGTCATTGCAGGGGGTGAAATGCCACATGGTCTGCTGAAGTCTTGTGAGGTTCACGTGGTGCACAGTCAGCTTTCAGCCTGTCTGTCCTTGGGAAGAGATTGCTGCGGAATCTCAATTCATAACTTTCTTATCCTCCTGACCCCCACCAGTCTGTTTTCCTTACCATGAACACAGCCATTCCACTCTCTTTGGGTGTAGATTTTATGATTTTGTTGCAGATGTAAATTCTAAATTGTGAATGATGCACCATGCCCCTCGGGGTGACACATAGAAACATACAAAGAGCGCCACTGGCAAGTGTGTTTATCGATAAGCTACCTGACTCTCAGAATTCTCCAGTGAGGAAAATCAGTGGTGCAGTTGCATTTTCTCTGTGTCTCTGTCTGTGTCCGGATGTCTCGGTGTCTCATTGTCTTAGTGTCTCTGTCTCTCTCTGGAAAGCTGCTCCCCCTCAACATCACGAGGTGTGGTTAAACTCAACTGGGTGAAAGCAAAGTTGCTATTAATTCTAATTTCCTGTGTAGCAAGTAGAACACAAAACAAGACTTTCTACACATTTGAAGCTTCCTGTTCATAGAGTTTCTGATGGGTGATACACTGAGGCAACTTGAGAAGCCTAGACATTTAATTAAGTGACTCACCAGGTGATCAGGGGCCTCACTCAGTAAATGATCCTGGCCAAGAGAAGAGCAGAGAGATGGTGCAAGTGACACACACCCCCCCATGGGGGTAGCCTGCTTACAATATAAGGGAGGAAAAGAGGCCTACTCCCCCATTTCCATCTTGCAGCTTTCGCTGTCTTCTGCCCCCTTGAAGTGTGGCAGCTCTCCACGCCATCCTGCCTTGGAGCCAGCTGACGACAGACTGAGGCCTCCACAAGATGTAAGCTCAATAAACTTCCTTCCTTAATTTTGGGCCTTGGTTATTTTGTCTCAGCAACTAGCATAAAGTAACCAAGATAGAGTCCTTCACAGTCCTTTTTTTCTAACAAATGAAAGACTTGAGAGCAATTATTCTTTCCATCCTAGACGTGGTACACTGGGGTTAAAACTTATTTCAAAGACAGAGGAATGGGAGAGTTGTGTGTTGAGGAATAAAAATCAAGAGAACCATGCACTTTCTGTGGCAAGATAAACTGAGAAGAACTTAAAATTTTGTCCCCTATATCTCAAAAGGGACAGCATTGTCATTTTACTCCTGTTATTGAGACGTTGCTTTTCGAAAGAAAACACATGGGTGGCTGACCCAGCAGCTAATAAGATGAGACGGGAACAAAGGCCAAGAGATGCACTTGTGGAAACCTGGGCACCTGGCCTTCTGTGGGCCAGTCGTGACAGAGATAACTGTGCTGTG